TTGATATGTCCAATGCTCATCAACCCAGTGAGCAGTTAAGCACATATAATTGGCATTTTGATTGGAAGTCCAAGTATCAGTAGTGAGTGAAACACGGATTTGAGATTTTTTAAAATACCTTTTCAACTTTCTAGCTTCTTCAATGTACAACTTGTAGCAATCTCTAGTAACTGTCGCTCTTGAAGGGACTTGAAAGCGAGGTTCTAACCTTCTCATCATCTCTTTAAAACCATCACCTTCCACAATATTAAAAGGCATCTCATCCAATATCACAAATATAGCAATGGCTTGTCTGCAATCAAGTTGATTAAATAGATGATGACTCAAAGTTTTAGATGACCCTAATTGAGAGCCCGATAGCAAAGATTGTGCCAACTTGTTTGCTTTGTTCGGATTTCTAGGACATCTTTTTACATGTTTTCTCATTCCATTTGTACCATGTCTTGTAGAGTCACAACCAATTGTTGTTGGGCAATACTTGCACTTAGCACGGGGTTCTCCATTAGTTTTGTCCAATGGCAACCTTTCAAAATGCACCCAAACAGCTGATTTACGTCTCTTTCTTCCACTGTCTCCTTCATTCTTTGACTCATTTCCCTCATTTTCCTCTTCAGTATCAGGTGATAAAGCATTTTCAGGATCTCCTTCTATTGTTTCAACATTTTCTTGAAGGGTGGGTGTAGTGGCCATTTTTCTTTGCAATGTAGATTTAGCCAATAGCAGCAGCAACAACAACCCTTAACTGATTAAAACCTCATATTAAATATTCAAATAGATTTGAAAGAGACCAGTCTGACATAGTAAGCACGATAAATCATCAAAACTTTTAACAAATTGGTAGAGAGATATAATCCATTAAATCTCACAGCAGACAAAAAAAAATGTAAGCAATTAATATATTGTTGTAGCACTATTTTCAGCAAGCATAACAAAAGAAAAATTAAAATATCACCTTCCTAGAAAGAAGATGGAATTAAATGATATTAACACATTTCCTAACCAATATTTATTTTTCTTAAAAACAAGAATAAATAGAATGGGCATATAAACATATCACCGAGATAACAGATGGGTGAGCCAGCCAACATGAAACTGAGGATTTGCCAAATCTAAATGACCATGTGCGCTAGACAGTGTGTGCCCCATGAAACAACTTTGATTCAACCATCCATAAGCAAACCTCAAGGGATTAAATTAAAATCACTCATCATTTTGTGATGCTTTAATATTAAATTATATTTAATCAAATCTTAACTTTTTGTGATTGGGTAACAGTATATCTAAAAGGCCTTTCTCAACCAAAATGCACCAACATGAAATCTTTTCCTGATCAGGTAACAATATTGAACCGTTCTTTAAACATGATTGTAAAGACATATCTAAATAATTAAAAGGATTTTTTTTAATATGCCTATTTACTTAGATTAAATTTAAGCATTGTCAGGCTTACCTAAGGGTAACTCTTTCACATATGTTTTGTATGTTTATGCTGATTTGAGCATGAAATCTCATGTTCTTTTCATTGAGATTAACCTTTGTTAATTAAAAAAATATTTTAAAAACTGACAAGTAATACAAGTAACTATTTAAACCACTAAGAGGTGCCATTTTCATACTGCTCAAACATATCAACCTCAAGTTCTCAACCATAAAGGAAGCCCAATTTCCTTTACCCTCTTTAAACATCCAACTGCACAATAGAAGTGAAATTTCCTCCCCTCACCCACGACATTACGGTGTTCCAAGAACAAGAAAGAACAAATGAGTCTCACAATCAGATGCAATGCCATATCTAGAAGAGAATTACGAATCCTTACCTCCAGCCAATCACGATGAAGCAAGTAGAAAAATTTAGAACTCCCTCAAACAGAACAGCGTCGAAGAGCAGGGGAAGGAGACAATGGCGAAGTATAGCATCAAAGGAATGAGTTGGGTGTTTGATGGAGACTCCTACGTCTTTGAAAGACGGCGACTCATTTCATGGGAGGAAGAGATTACCAGCACACCCTTGTAGCTGCTCAAACGGAGGAGAAAGATGAAACTTCAGCAATGTGAGGCAGGGGAGGACCAAAACCACGAACTTGACGGTGCAGCCGAAGGAAATATGAGGCAACGTTAGGAGCCTGGGACGGAGATTTGGGTAGAGATCTGGGTTGAGGCAACAAATACCTTGCACTACAGCTCGAGACGGAGGCGTGGAGGTGGAGATAGAGGTGTGGTCCAGGTCGCGAAGGCAGAGGCGTCAGCTCTAGTCGTTGTGTGTCGAAGCTCGAGTAGAAAGATGATGTAACCGAAGGACCGAAGGACCGAAGGTCTGCTACTCTGCTTTGTCTCTGTGGCTGGACGACTGATCTGCGGCGGAGGGATCTTTGGAGTTGGAGGCTTGGAGCTTTGGAATGGAAGGGAAAGATGGAAACCGAACTGAGCTTTGGAATGGCGGAGGCGGAGGGATCTAGATCTGGATCTAGAAAGTGGAAACTGGAAAGGGAAACCGGAAAAGGAACTTCAAAAATTAAAAATGGTCTCTCGCTGCCGTGCGCCCGTGCCGCGTATCTCAGTCTCTCAGAGCTAAAAATAATATTAAAAATCAAATAATCAATTTAATTAAAATGAATAAATAATAGTTAAATTTAAAAATATATATATTTATATATACTGAATAAACGGGACGGGACGGGACGTCCCGATGGATGGCCCGTGTCCCGTCCCGTCCCGTCCCTATTTTGTCCCTGTCCCAAAAAAATCCCGTCCCGAATTTTTTCGGGCCGGGACCGACCCGTCCCAATATGATCGGTAGGAGTGTTCAAGATGTACCCGGCCCGACTGACCCGTACCGGCCGGTAGGAGTGTTCAAGATGTACCCGGCCCGACTGACCTGTACCGGCCCGTGCTCGTCCCGATCATATTGGGACGGGTCGGTCCCGGCCCGAAAAAATTCGGGACGGGATTTTTTTGGGACAGGGACAAAATAGGGACGGGACGGGACGAGACACGGGCCATCCATCGGGACGTCCCGTCCCGTCCCGTTTATTCAGTATATATAAATATATATATTTTTAAATTTAACTATTATTTATTCATTTTAATTAAATTGATTATTTGATTTTTAATATTATTTTTAGCTCTGAGAGACTGAGATACGCGGCACGGGCGCACGGCAGCGAGAGACCATTTTTAATTTTTGAAGTTCCTTTTCCGGTTTCCCTTTCCAGTTTCCACTTTCTAGATCCAGATCTAGATCCCTCCGCCTCCGCCATTCCAAAGCTCAGTTCGGTTTCCATCTTTCCCTTCCATTCCAAAGCTCCAAGCCTCCAACTCCAAAGATCCCTCCGCCGCAGATCAGTCGTCCAGCCACAGAGACAAAGCAGAGTAGCAGACCTTCGGTCCTTCGGTCCTTCGGTTACATCATCTTTCTACTCGAGCTTCGACACACAACGACTAGAGCTGACGCCTCTGCCTTCGCGACCTGGACCACACCTCTATCTCCACCTCCACGCCTCCGTCTCGAGCTGTAGTGCAAGGTATTTGTTGCCTCAACCCAGATCTCTACCCAAATCTCCGTCCCAGGCTCCCAACGTTGCCTCATATTTCCTTCGGCTGCACCGTCAAGTTCGTGGTTTTGGTCCTCCCCTGCCTCACATTGCTGAAGTTTCATCTTTCTCCTCCGTTTGAGCAGCTACAAGGGTGTGCTGGTAATCTCTTCCTCCCATGAAATGAGTCGCCGTCTTTCAAAGACGTAGGAGTCTCCATCAAACACCCAACTCATTCCTTTGATGCTATACTTCGCCATTGTCTCCTTCCCCTGCTCTTCGACGCTGTTCTGTTTGAGGGAGTTCTAAATTTTTCTACTTGCTTCATCGTGATTGGCTGGAGGTAAGGATTCGTAATTCTCTTCTAGATATGGCATTGCATCTGATTGTGAGACTTATTTGTTCTTTCTTGTTCTTGGAACACCGTAATGTCGTGGGTGAGGGGAGGAAATTTCACTTCTATTGTGCAGTTGGATGTTTAAAGAGGGTAAAGGAAATTGGGCTTCCTTTATGGTTGAGAACTTGAGGTTGATATGTTTGAGCAGTATGAAAATGGCACCTCTTAGTGGTTTAAATAGTTACTTGTATTACTTGTCAGTTTTTAAAATATTTTTTTAATTAACAAAGGTTAATCTCAATGAAAAGAACATGAGATTTCATGCTCAAATCAGCATAAACATACAAAACATATGTGAAAGAGTTACCCTTAGGTAAGCCTGACAATGCTTAAATTTAATCTAAGTAAATAGGCATATTAAAAAAAATCCTTTTAATTATTTAGATATGTCTTTACAATCATGTTTAAAGAACGGTTCAATATTGTTACCTGATCAGGAAAAGATTTCATGTTGGTGCATTTTGGTTGAGAAAGGCCTTTTAGATATACTGTTACCCAATCACAAAAAGTTAAGATTTGATTAAATATAATTTAATATTAAAGCATCACAAAATGATGAGTGATTTTAATTTAATCCCTTGAGGTTTGCTTATGGATGGTTGAATCAAAGTTGTTTCATGGGGCACACACTGTCTGGCGCACATGGTCATTTAGATTTGGCAAATCCTCAGTTTCATGTTGGCTGGCTCACCCATCTGTTATCTCGGTGATATGTTTATATGCCCATTCTATTTATTCTTGTTTTTAAGAAAAATAAATATTGGTTAGGAAATGTGTTAATATCATTTAATTCCATCTTCTTTCAGGAAGGTGATATTTTAATTTTTCTTTTGTTATGCTTGCTGAAAATAGTGCTACAACAATATATTAATTGCTTACATTTTTTTTTTGTCTGCTGTGAGATTTAATGGATTATATCTCTCTACCAATTTGTTAAAAGTTTTGATGATTTATCGTGCTTACTATGTCAGACTGGTCTCTTTCAAATCTATTTGAATATTTAATATGAGGTTTTAATCAGTTAAGGGTTGTTGTTGCTGCTGCTATTGGCTAAATCTACATTGCAAAGAAAAATGGCCACTACACCCACCCTTCAAGAAAATGTTGAAACAATAGAAGGAGATCCTGAAAATGCTTTATCACCTGATACTGAAGAGGAAAATGAGGGAAATGAGTCAAAGAATGAAGGAGACAGTGGAAGAAAGAGACGTAAATCAGCTGTTTGGGTGCATTTTGAAAGGTTGCCATTGGACAAAACTAATGGAGAACCCCGTGCTAAGTGCAAGTATTGCCCAACAACAATTGGTTGTGACTCTACAAGACATGGTACAAATGGAATGAGAAAACATGTAAAAAGATGTCCTAGAAATCCGAACAAAGCAAACAAGTTGGCACAATCTTTGCTATCGGGCTCTCAATTAGGGTCATCTAAAACTTTGAGTCATCATCTATTTAATCAACTTGATTGCAGACAAGCCATTGCTATATTTGTGATATTGGATGAGATGCCTTTTAATATTGTGGAAGGTGATGGTTTTAAAGAGATGATGAGAAGGTTAGAACCTCGCTTTCAAGTCCCTTCAAGAGCGACAGTTACTAGAGATTGCTACAAGTTGTACATTGAAGAAGCTAGAAAGTTGAAAAGGTATTTTAAAAAATCTCAAATCCGTGTTTCACTCACTACTGATACTTGGACTTCCAATCAAAATGCCAATTATATGTGCTTAACTGCTCACTGGGTTGATGAGCATTGGACATATCAAAAGCGAATCTTGAATTTTTGTGTAGTTGAAAATCATAAGGGAGAAACAATTGCTCAAGAAATTGAGAAATGCTTGTTGTTTTGGAGCATTGATAAGGTGTTTACAATCACAGTTGATAATGCTTCTTCTAATGACACTGCTTTGGCATCTTTAAAGGGGGTCTTGAGGCATTGGAATGGTTTAGTTTGTGATGGGGAGTTCTTGCACTTACGTTGTTGTGCGCATATCTTAAATTTGATTGTTTCTGATGGTGTGAAGGATATGCACAAGTGTATTGAAGGCATTCGAAATGCCATTAAATATGTGAGATCTTCTCCATCAAGGTTTCATAAATTCAAGGAGCTTGTGGAAAAAATGAAAATTGATTCAAAAAAGCTACTAAGCATGGATTGTCCAACTAGATGGAATTCAACTTACATCATGTTAGAGAGTGCAATTAAATTTTGCAGCGTTTTTGAGAGGATGGAGCAGCAAGATAATGATTACAGAAACTTCTTCTTGGATAAAAATTTGATTGGTCCCCCTAATGAAAATGATTGGAAGGATGCAAAAGATTTTGTGATCTTTTTGAAGGTGTTCTATGATATTACTTTGCAATTTTCAGGATCACTTTATGTGACCTCAAATGTTTGCTTTCAACAGATAGTTGATGTCTTTGCAATTTTATATGAAAATGCAAACAATCATGATTCCTTGCTTTGTGATATGGCTAAGAGCATGTTGACCAAGTATAATAAGTATTGGGGGAACTTAGAGAAACTTAATCTTTTGCTTGTGGTAGCAGTGGTACTTGACCCAAGGTATAAAATGAAATATTTGCAGTTTGCTTTTGAGGATATGTTTCCTGAGACTACACAACGTGAAGCTATGACAAAAAAAGTCTCAGATGTCTTGTATCGTTTATATGATCATTATTCAAGTGGGGTTGACACATCTCAGACTCAAAGTCAGAGTCAAAGTCAGACACAAGGAGCAAGTGAAAGTAGTTTGACTCAATCACTTGGATCAGATCGTAGGCCTTTAACTTTCTTAAGTTCTAGGTCTAGGGCTTCATTTCAAAGGTTTCTTGCCCAAAAAGAGATTGAGGTTCAAGCAGATAAGTATGCAGAGGTGGACAAGTATTTGCACGATGAGTTAGCTGAAGCACTTGATCCAACTTTTGACATTTTAACATGGTGGAAATTGAATTAGGCTAAATATAAAGTCCTTTCATTGATTGCACGTGATGTATTGGCCATGCCTGTTTCCACTGTGTCTTCAGAATCTGCATTTAGCACAGGAGGTCGTGTAATTGATGATTTTAGGAGCTCCCTATCTCCAAAGATGGTTGAGGCACTAATTTGTGCGCAAAACTGGCTATCTCCATCAACTGCAAAACTGAAAGGTGTTGATGTTGATAATTTTAACGATACAGAGCAAGCTGTGGAAGGTAATATCATTTTTTATATTTGATTATTTCTTTTAATATGATTTAACTTTTTGTTTATATATATTTAATAATTTTTGTTTATATTGTGTTTATTGTTTTATTTTCAGAAGAATCATTAGCTTCAAATATCTCAGTTGAAGAGGAAGAGCAATGAGTTGAAGTTGAAGTTGAAGTTGAAGTTAAAGTTGTACTTGGGGCTTAAATTGTTGATTCTTGACTACTTGTTGCACTTATTACTTAGAAGTTACTTATCTTTGTTAAGCTGTATTTGTTGAATTGTTGTTGTTATTTGTCTTTTGAATGTTGCTGCTGCCTGTTGAAATGTTCTTCGTAGACTTGATTTAATTTGATTTTCTGTTACTGCTTTTTTTTCCTTTAGTAGGAAATCTTGATATTTCCAAAATCTTAGTATTTCCAAAATCTTGATATTTCCAAAATTTTGATATTTAAGATGATGGCATCACTAGTTGAGACTGCATTACATGACGAAGGTCGAGAAAAAGTAGCAGGTTTTGTACCTTGATAGTTGACATAGTATAGCTTTGCTTGTAAAGCATGCAGTCAATTTGTGTCTTCTAATTTGTCCTCTAATTTGTTTCTTTCTTTGCCATAGCAATTTTTAAGTATTAGGGTTATGATGTGAAAGAGCTTCCTGAAGAGTACAGTGAACCACTTATAAATTACAGGGGCACGCTAAAAATAGGTTCTTTCTCAAAACTTTAATGTGTTTTTACAGTAATTTTAATTCTGCAATTAATGATAAATTAATTATAGGAATACTTCAGGTGAACAGCAAGACTGAATTTTTTATTTCAATATGATTTTGCAAGGAAGGAATTTGAAGTGATCGAGAATTTGGGAAGAATTCAAGTGCCGTTCAAATGGAAGTAATATGAGGTAATTTTTTTCTCTCCAAATCTCTTATAAAATTAGGACATTGTTGAGAAATATTTTCAAAGAAAAAGATCTGGGTGTTGAGTTGCGAAAAAAATTTAATTTATATGGTTGAGTTGTGAACAAAAAGATCTGGATGCTTTTTCTTGTCAAGTAATAAGTTGAAAGATTGTAATAATCTCGTTGATCTGGGACGTCCCGGTCCCGTCCCGGTCCCGTCCCGACTCTTTTTGGGATGGGACAGCTTCCGGGACGGGACGGGACACGGGACAAATTTTTAGTCCCGATCATTTTTCGGGACGGGCCACGGGACAGGGGTGTCCCGGTTCCGTCCCGTCCCGTGAACACCCCTAATGATCGGGACGAGCACGGGCCGGTACGGGTCAGTCGGGCCGGGTACATCTTGAACACTCCTAATGGGAGGAATCGCCCCTTGTCACAAAAATATGCTAGTCTGGTCATCGCTTTTTTTTTTTTTAAAAAAAAAATTTCCTTGATAAATAAAGTATATATGAATAGTGCAAAACTTTAGGTAAAGATCGGAAGTGACTCAAAATCAATGAAAGGAGAATCACAACAGCACATGGTGTAAAGGTGACGAGATAATATGGTAATGAAAATAATAATATAACTAAGTCCTATAATCCAATCTTTAAATTAACAGAGATAAGATGCTAGTGCTTTTCCCTCATGGAAAGTTTATTCTCAACAGAGATGCCTCCCCCTCCCATTTACCATTTATCATGATCCGTCCCTTTCTAATAAGGTACATATATTTGTGAGTTTTGATTTGATTCTAAAATAATTGGCAAAAAAAAAATTGATTCTAAATATAAGATTGTTAAATTATTTACGTGTAAGTAAACTTGAGTTAATGTGAGAAGTCTCACATAGGACAAAATTAGACTTAATGATTAGCATAAAAATATAGAGAAATGTCTCATAAACTTAATTCTTAAAATTTTGAATTAAAATATTATGTCTTTATACTAATCTTACCTGTTTGTCTTCTCTCCTTGTTCTTGAGCTATCATTCCCCATTCCTAACAAAGGTATTATTCTCTCGTGTGATATATATTAAAATTTTTCTTCCCATACTACCTCTTGGAACATCTGTATTTCTACATATTAAATTTTAATATATTAGTTAAGTGGCAAGGATATTTTTTAAAAAATATCACAAATTCTCTATATATTTATTACAAATAATTGAATTACCTATTTTTCTTAGTTTCTACAAATTCTCTATATATTTATTACAAACTTCATATTTAGGAGAAAAGGAGTATATGAAAGGGGAGAATATTATATACAAGTCTCACTCAACACAATTAATTACTTTCAGATTTATTGGTAATTGAGCTTAAAAAAATGACAACACATCTACCTTGGAGTAATTAATTGTAAGGAAATGACTTTATTTCTCTAAAAAATGTCTACATAGAAACAAGGAAATATATCTAGGGCGTAAAATTGATGAAAAGTATATGATAGGTAAAGAAAAGATATTTTGATGACTACTCATTTATTCGAAGAGTTTTTTCTATTAAGAGCAAAACATGGTAGTATATGATTTCTTCTATTAAAAATCTCAAAAAATTTAAACCTAGATGATGATGAGTTGAAAATATATGATAGGAATAGTAAACTTTTAATTTCTCAAATTTGTCTCAGATAATAATTTGGTCCATCAAGTTTAATTTTTAATCAATTCAATCCATGTTATTTCCTTAAGTAATTATTAATCTTAGGCTTTGGAACATAAATTGGACCTTAAATTAATTTGATGTGCAAAGTATATATTGATAACTTAGTGTATATGTATATGTCAATAAATGAGAACAACTCTGTTTTTACAAGTCATCTGATTTCCTTATATTTCTTATTTTTCCTTATTTGATGACTTGTGAAAAATACTCTCATTGATTTCCAATGCCCTTCTTAGTATATATATATATATGTTTTGGAAACATGACATTTAAGAACACTAAGAACATTAATTATAGTTAAGGATCCTAAACTTATGAAGGGCAATATATACTTAGCCTTATATTTTTATCCAATGAATTTAAGATATGTAGATTTTATTGTATTAATAATATTAATAATAAGAGTTTGCTGTGGAATAAATAATATATAAAACATCCACATATATTAATTTAATTAAAAACATGCATCTTAAGTATATAAAAATAAGAATATAAGTTTTTCGAGGTTGCTCTTACTATTATATTCTCCATTTAATATGTTGATTGAGTTATTCCTTCTCTTTAACTAAAGCAATGCATTCTGCATCCTTTAATCATCAAGAACAAAGTTATGACTGGCTTCCTTCTTCCTTCCTTCCTTTTAATGAAGTGTGCCTATTAATTCCAAACGTGAGGAAGGCTGTGTTAAAGGAAAAGTCCTCATTATAGAATTGTCAAGTTCCTTAATATATAATGGATATATAATTATATAATTATTAGTAGGAGACCAATTAATAAGTCAAGAATCTGTAGCAACCCATCTCTTCATTTCATTTTTATCAATATCTATTATTTTTACCTAGTTAATTTGTTTTAATGGAGAATGACACAACTAATTAATAAAGACCCCATAAAAAGTTTATGTCGTAATAGAACTTTTTAAAGAGTTCCGATGCTGAAGTATGGAAACGTGTTGGATTCTAAATTTTAGAAATTTTAAATTGTGATGATGTTCACGTTTGATATTAACCTTGGTCTTGAATTGTCATTCTATCCCGTTTTAATTACCTGAAGATTTAATAACTATCATTATTGACAAATTTATAAGTTTTAAGCATATGGATATAACATATACTCTCTCCAATCCTTAATATATACAAGGCAAATTAAATCAACTTAATTTGCGCGTATTAAGAATTTGTACTTATATTCTTAAAGTTTTTTAGAAAAATATGTAATTTCTTAATTTTACTCTTCTTTACAATAAATAACCATAATAAATTGTTATCTAATAATTCAAACAATAATAAATAAATAAGGGATAAAACTAAAAAAATATTAATTACCCCAACTTTGCCTTAAATTCCTAAAATTAAGAATAGTCTGTGTTTTGGTTGTTTTCTGTGTATTGAATGACTGTGAAATATGACAATAAAGTGACTAATATATATTTTATTTTGTATAACATGATTAATCCTCTCTGAAGAGAACATATGTTAAAAAAAAAAACAAATGTATCACTGAGTCGATGAATTCCATTGATGTGTCTCACTATTTTTATTTTATTTTTTGTCTTGCTAGATCTTTCTCTTACAGTCTTTAGGTGTCGGCAGAGAAGAGCCAAATTCTAATAATGCCTATACATGCATGATTTCATTTCCTTTTTAGTGACAAATTATTCCTTGTCTGATATTAGCGATCGAAATTTGAGTTGCATTTGTCCCAATTATTGGTAAGCTCTTTGAACATGATTTTCTCTATTCATATTCCAACACTCACCCCAACCAATGTTAAAAAATATTTAATTTCTTTCACTCCTTTTGACTAAATTATTTTCCAAAGTGAGATGACATAAGTGAGGTTAATTAGCTGTAAAGTCTAGTTCTTTTTTTGATCTTTTCTTTCCTTCTCATTGTCTGCAAGCACTTATTCTAAAGTATAATATTCTAAAGATGTCTGATGCTAAAAACAACTGTTCCCAGAATATCATGAGGTTAATTACAATGATGTGATAAAACCTGAAGAAACATCATTTTAATTAGGGGAAGTGATGAAACTCTTGCTCTCTTGTAGATTATATGGTCCTTTTTTTTTTTCCTTTTTAAAGCAATCTAATTTGGAAAATGAAGATCTAAATGTCTAAAGGATGAAGAAACAACTTTGAAGCACATATCACCCCACCTTAATTATCTCACAAGTAAATAAGGAAAGAAGCAGCAGCTAGTCATCATAACTTTTTTCTTGATAATTAAAGCATGTGTAATTATATTCATCTCACTTTATTTAAAGAGAAGAAAGTGAGATGAAAGTGTCTGATCAATCAATTGATCTTATCTGTGTTGACTATATATAGTTAAAAATGGAGAATCGTCCAAGAGCAGGTAGTATAAATTAAAGGTGACAAGAAGATAGATATATATTCGTGACAAATATAAAATATAAGACGAAGACTTCATGATCATCTTTAAATGAAGATGTTAGGACCTGTTTGGTATAATAAATTTTCTTTGATAGAATTGAAAAGAATCAGAATGGAATTGGATTATAAAAGTTTGTTTGATACGAAGATGAAATACTGATATAATTTTAATAATTATATATATTTTAAATAGGAAAATATCAAAATGCCCCTTACTTCAAAAATAAAAAAGGAAATCACAACTCAAGAGTCAGGATCGCAACTCGGCTACAGTGCTTTCTTCTTCTCCTCCTTGTTTTTTTTTTTCTAGAAGTGTATTGAAGCTTGCAGGTATATTGAGCAAGAATTCCTAAAAAATACCAATAACAACACAACACCAACGCATAGCATCAATAGCAACAACGCAAACCAACTTCACCAAGCCAGAACGTTGAGAACGACGAGAGTCGAACGGCCGCGAAGTTGATAACCAATGGTCGACATCGCCGCGCTGGGAAGCAATGGTCGACATCCTCGAGGCCATTCACCGATGCTTCCTATCAGTGATGACTACTAAAAACATGGTGGCTGGGGGAGACTAGTGGAGATCGGAGGAAGGGGGTGCTTTCAATGCCGTCGTTCGTCGCTACTGAAAAGGCTCCTGTTGCAATCATCAATTAGCCTTTGTGTTGGCTAGAGAGGTTAGGGAGAGAAGCGAGGGTCAAATGGAGCAAGGGGATAAGACGGAGAGAGGGGGCATTGGAATTGGATTCTGTGTGATGGAATCGAATTTTGTCAATTTTAGCTGAATCAGAATTCTTTAAAATCATGAATGCAACATACCAAACGAGTATGATCATGGATTCCATTTTCATTTCCCTTTCTTTTTTCTTAATTTCAACCTACCATGGCTTTAGTACATTCACTCGTGGAAAGTTTCCCTCTTTTTTTTTTTTTTTTCTATCTTATGTAGTAATTCACTATACCAACCAAATGGAGGACCCAAAAAAAAAAAATTGTTGTTTTATAGTTTGAGTGGGTAAATGGGGCTCGTAACATTATGTTTTGTTGGCTAATCTTTTTTTTTTTTTTCTGTTATCTCAAAGTAAATATATGCAAAGCCTAAAAGCTAGGACACGTGGTGTATATATATATTTATAAATAGCAGGACTTTTTTTTTTTTTTGCAGATTTTATATCGATTTCGTTAATTTTACTTTCTTTGTTTGTGTTTTTATTTTACATTTAACTTTCTCAGTGTACTGATTATTTTCTGCTTCTGTAATTATTTTCTTTCCAAAAGAATATGTTCAGTTTTGAAACTTCCAATCTTTTGAAAAAGCAATTTTCCCTTCAACTTCACTTTATTAGTCACTTTTATAAGGCGGTTTATTTATAAGTTATTAAATTAATAGTAATATTTTATTTTAAATAAAATATTTAAACTATTTTTAAAAAATAAGAGAGAGAAAAAAATAAAAAAATAATATTATATAATTTATTTACTTTTCAAGAGTTATGTTTGTAATTTTATTAACTTTTATTTTTTTATATTTTTATTATATTGATATTAATAAAATTAATAAAATAATTAATAAATAAAATGAAGGGGATATATCACTTTATGAAAGCAAAGTAAGGGATTTAGGGTCCCTCAATCATTGGGTTGAGCACCCAATAAAGTTATGTTAAAGCAAAAAAGAAAAAGAAGAAAATCACTTCTTATTTTTCAGACTATTAATTACCAAGTTAATTAATTGGCATCTCACTGGAAAAATGGAATCCGTCAGCAAACAATTAATGTTTGGCACATACTAGTATGTTGCCTTTTGCAAGCATGGGGTACGGAACAAATTTTTAAATACACCAAATATATCACGTCATTTATGATTTATTTAATTAGAGTATTTTAAATCATTTAAATAAAATTTACATAAAATTATTTTAATTAATTTTATTCTTATCATAGAATGCATATTTAATTTTTTTTACATTTTCTTTATTATCATTAATAACATAATTAATTTATATTTAATAATATTTAAATGTCATGTTTTTATTGGATAGTCATAATGATGTGATGCACTTGATCTATTTAAAAATTTATCATGATATAGATCATGTGCATTAATTCCTTCACAATTTTGTGTCATCAATAGTTGTAACAGGAGATAATCCTTCTATTCAAAAATATAATATATTTTTTTTAAGGTGATATGTTCACTTTGGCATTTTGTGTTTCTTAAAGTATAATTAATGATTTTTTTCAAAAACACCCTTAATTAGAGGTTTAATTAATAAAGTTTTTTAATTGAACATTCTATTAAATAAAGGTAACATAAAAAAAGAGTGTAATTTTAAAGATAATTAACTTATATACTCATTAGTTGTATAATTCAGTTAAAAATATTTTATAATGTTTCAATGGAGGGAGTATTTGTATTTCTTTTCATTCCATACAAAATATAATTAATTTCAACCCATCCTTTTCATTGTTTCATTTTCATTTATTTTGCATTAATATTCTACGTCGTAAACAAGCCCTCCCATGACATTGTACTTTGAACAATAAAACTCTTCCGGAAGATAACTTACATAAAGAACCAGATGGAGCATATGGATAACTAATTTTTAGATTATTATCAATATATTAATACATATGATAAAAATTATGGGAATTGACTGTACAAATAATGAATAGCGTGTCTCATTCCTTGTATGCGTATCCATATATATAATATAATGCATAGAAAAAGGTGTCTAGTTAATTTGAACTATTTCGTTTCTCACTTAAAATACAGTCCTATTCATTTGCAACTCAATTTTACTCTCCAAGGTCTCAACTTTTGCAACTTAAACGTTTTATGAGTATCCACTTCCAATTTTATTGCGGAAAAAAAAAATGTTGAATGAAGTGTGATATCTAAAGTTTGGTAACATTTTTTGCTGAGATTCTGGTGCGTGCATCCAGTCTCTACAAAGCAACAAAGTTTTCCAGACTCTCAAGGAGCAAGCTGGCAAAAATTTAATATAAAATAAAATAAATCAGAATTTGAAGCTGACAAAGTTGTGAGAGAACCTACTGAGCAGGACCATCACTTTATTATGATATAAGACGAAAGATCATTACTACATCCACACATCCGAGCACACACTAATATTTTTGTTTTTTGAGCAAAAGAGCACACACTAATAATTAATAACACAGCCTCACACTATTTTTTTTTTTTTCAATACACTGGATCGGCACAACATTGAAATTAATCTACATAGCCATTTTCTCATATTGCGGGATTATTATAGGACTTCTCACTTTGTGCTTGCCATCTGTCCACGTCAGCTCCCCAAATGAAGGCTGATCTGAAGTTTTGGCTGAACTTGTTGCCTGCAAAATCACCAGATAGCTCTTCTTCTGGTTTGTCCTCTGAAACGTCAAAGTTTTCGGAAGAACAACCACCTTAACTCCTGGCGGGGCTTCGAAATTTACAGTATACGTGCCTGGAGGCCCAACGTTTGTTACTGTACGAGAAACATTTATAGGTTTCGCACCCAGAAAAGGCACAGTGATTGAAGGGTAGTTGAAATCTTCTAGTCTGTAAGACCTTGGACATTTGTATGGCCTGTTATAGTTAATGGCTTCCACTAATCTTTCCTCGTAAGCAGAGGCACATAGCAAGTTGAGGTAATCAGAAACCTTGAGATCATAAACAAGACCGGGGTCTATTGCTTGGTTGGGCTTGACAAATCCTGTACCATAAAGAAATGGACTTGCTAGCTTATCATCTTGCTCGTCCCGAATCGGTTGATTGGTGTTGTCCAGTATGCTTGCTAAAACGACATAGTTTTGAATACTTGTTAGAGAGAGAAAGAGAGATATAACTGTAAACTGATAACAGACTAATGCATGTCGTCATACCAGTGGTCATGATGGCTGACTTGATCATTGCGGGACTCCAAGTAGGATGACGATTTTTTAGAAGACCAACAATGCCAGTAACATGAGGGCATGCCATGGAAGTCCCGGTCAGAGTAGTATAGTCAAAACGACGTCCATCTGAATCTAGGTTCGTGGGACTTACACCAGATGAATAAGCAGCAATTATGTCCTGACCTGGTGCAGTTACATCAGGCTGAAAATAACCCAAAAAAAAAAAAAAACTTAGGAATTGCAAATGATGATGATGATCATGAACTATGTCCTTGACTGAGAATGGACATACACAACCTTGAGGATTGAGGGCAGAATTATGTTGGGCCCCCTGGATGAGAATGCAGAAACTTTTGGGGCTGGCCTTTTTGGTATAATTGTTTTTGCATTGTCCAAGAATGCAAGAGGGTTCCTGCAATATAGATGTATAAATGGAGCCCTATCACTGACAATATTTTCAGGAAGGTTTCAAAAGGATTGGTATGATAATTACTTGCTTTTGTCGAAATACTCGTTGTGGTGTTGTTCACTGGCACCCCCAGGGACAACTACTGGGGGATTTGGAATATTTGAAGAATCTAAAGTTTGAACATCAGCTGTAGCTGTATTCAATTCCTTATCATTTCTCAAAATCATTTTCAACGCGCCTACACGCTTTGCTTCTGCGCCCTTGTCCACCGGCCTTAGGGTTCTCCCTCTTTGGCATATCAATATGCGGCCCCTTACTTTTGTAGGATCAAGTGTTCCTGGTTTACAAAGCTGACTGCAACAGCAACCAAACATTTGATGATAGTTTGACACTGAGGAAAATTAAAGCATAACTTGGAGGGAATTTTAATCAATCTTACGCATCTTGAAATGTCGCGTTAGGAAGCTTGACATTGCCAGCAATGACCACAGAAGTCAACCTCCGAGATGTAGAGTTTGTGGCAAGACTTGTTCCCTGATCAGATCGTCCATGTTAAGTTATTATAAAAAGCAAAACCACATGACGTTGATATATATCTATATTGTTAATTATAAGAAATATGTACCTTTAAGCGCTGGCCATTCCCAAGAGTAATATTATTAGCGAAGTCCCTATCTATGGAGCCAGAAGCAACAGTGAAGATCCAAGGCGCCACATTACCCACAGTCTGAAGTTCAGGTCCGTCATTACCCGCCGAAGCAACAACTATTATTCCCCTGGAAATTGCATGGAAGGATCCTATGGAGACTCCATTTGTCAACATGTCATTAACATCAGGGACAGCGCTCCTACCGATTGAAACAGAGAGCACATCAACACGATCGTTGATAGCTTGGTCAAAAGCAGCGATCAAATCTTCATCGGTGCATCCTCCAGAGGCACCCCAGCAAACTTTGTAGACTGCAAGACGAGCTCTCGGAGATCCTCCCTTGGCAGTGCCATTCCCATTGTTAAGAACACTTACGTTTCGCACGAAGTTTCCTCCGGCTGTGGACAATGTATGGGTGCCATGTCCGTCCATGTCACGAGCACTGATACTACTTGGTGGGCCAAGACTTCCATGTTTTATCTCGTATCCTTGATAGAAGGTTTTTGCTCCTATGAGCTTCCTGTTTCATGAACATAACACATGATCTGCAAGTATACAAATGATCCTCCCATGTGTCCTTCAAAATTTTGAACCAACCTGTTGCAAAGAGTTCTGTTAAATCGGCCAGACAAAATGTAGAGCTCGCATTTTGATCCTCCTCTCCATTTGTTTGGAATGGGGCCGTACCCATCATCTTGGAAGCTTCTGGATTCCGGCCAAACACCTATATAACAGAACAGCCCAATGAGTGTGCTGTGTGCGTTAGTAAATAGATATAAATGGATTTCATTTACAACAAACTAGTTACCCGTATCAAGACTGCCGATAATCACATTTTGACCAAATCTTCCTTTGACCCAAGCTGAGTCTGGTCTAACTCTTCCATTTCTTTCTTGTCCCAGGAAGCCCCATGACCTTGTTGTGTGCAGCTTATGTGATTGGCTTAGGAACACCGACACCACTTTTGAATTTTCTGCACCGACAATCACAATCAATGTTACCATTATATTATATAAAATTTGTTAAAAAGAAAAAAAAGTTCTAATATATAAACAATAATGCATAATTCTCCCTTTTCTCCTTTTTAAAAGTGCCCTTTAGAAGGTTTTTGTGGTTTTATTTGTAAGATGTTTTGCATAATTGAGATAGTAATTACTATGTTTTTCTTCCAAAAATACCCCTTAAAAGTTCTTTTAATTAAGAGAGTAGAATATTTAATAATTAAAAAGATATTTGTGACAAGATGAGGTAATTTAAAAATATCAATCAATTTAATTAAGAAAACAAGTTGAAACGTATGAAGAATGGAAGGAATATATGGGCGTAGGGGTTCTGGATCTAGTTGATATAATATATAAGGCTCTGACTTTTGATCTCTGCTGCTTCTTCATCTTCAAGTAATGCGGCAAATCCATTGATGTGTTTGTTGTAAGAGTAAAACATGGCTTCTTTTGCCCTCTCATGACTGTCAAAGATCAGTAGAATTCAGATTCTTGTTGCCCAGATTATGTAATTGATTGATTGACTAGAAATTAATGGGCCAAGAGATACGTACCTTCCTAAGACAGAGGCAAGCAAGTCATAATGAGAACTTGTGGCAAAGTCCATATCAGCAGAGGAAGGTTTTGGACCATGAGAATGTGATCCCAAGTATACAACGTACGACTGCCACATCAAATTAATTAACGTTGTTGATGGTGGCGACGAGGAGAATATATCAGTCACGAACCAAGTTATGCTCTGCTTACCTTTTTAATGGCGAAGGCAGGTTGCAGTGACAAGCTGCAGAGCAGAGATAATGAAAGAAGATGATGAAACATAGTTGAGCCTATCAATTTGCTTCACCTGAATGTTGACGAGTATGATGATGATCGACAATGGCTACTCTTGTTCGTCTCTTTATATAAATCCATTCTCAGGTGTTTGTGGATGGAGAAAATTTCTTATTTGTTTTTTTTTTTTAATGTACTAGAGAAAATGGACCCACCTTGATTTTGATTTAATATGTCGTTCCAATATTCTTGCCCGCATAATATATAAATTAAAATGCAGTGATGATGAAGTGAAGCTTGAATGTAATTTTATTAAGGATTTTGGAGAGGGATATATTTAATCTTCTCCATACTTTTTTCTTAATGTATCTCTCCACACACCATTTTATGTAATTTTTATTTTATCATTCAGTATTTAAGAAACCTAAAGTATGACTATCACCTGTTTAGATTAATTTGAACCCCCGTTGCGAGAAATTAAACTTGGAGTATTATTACCTTTCCATATTAGCCCGAAACCCCATTACGTGGAGCCGTTATTACTAACAATGACAACGATGATACTTCCAACATTTTTGTTTAACTAACGGTTACATATTTGAAGATTTGAACTCAAGATTCAGGATAAATTAATTTGACTTCCTTGACCATTCAAATCAAGTGCCCCTTAGTGTACACCATCTTATTTATCTATTATATTTACTTGTTTATTTATAATTAGATTCAAATACATTTTTCTTTCTATACTTTCTAGGAGCTCTTGGCATCCTGTACTAATAAGTGGAGAATTTTTTTTATAAATCATTTTTTAGAGAAACAAAAATCCTCCTCCATTAGGGATCCATTAATGGAGGGAGGTTTTTGCTCCTGTAGAAATTTAGAAAAAAATATTTTACTTATTAGTACAGGATGCTTAGCACTCGAAGGAAAGTATGAAAAACAAATACACTTTAGCTTTGATAATATTAACAATAATATTTTTTATATAAATTATGGAAAATGACCTTATAAGAAAATTAATAATGATTAAGTCCTTTAAATCTTTTAGGTCATTCTTTGTAATTTTTTTTTTCAACTTACAATTTTTTTCCAAAATATTGCACCACCTAAATTTGATGTCATAACTTTGTATTAAAAAGGAGGGAATGAACCTTCAAATAAATGGATAAAATTAATATTTTCTTGTTGAATTTGCAATTTATTTTTCCCAATTTTAAAATTGAAAACATGTTGTATTGTATGAAAATATCAATTAAGAACAAGTGACACTTCAATTCTAAATATTGAAAAAAATTATAGACAATGACTTAAAAAATTTAAGAGACTTAATTAATATTAAGTTTTTTAAAAGATTGTTTTCTTAATAAATATTAAATATTTTAAAAATATTTATTAAATTATATTTTAATAGAATTTGAGAGTGCCCAACACTTCTATAGAAAAAGAGTTTAAAAATAAATTAACGAAGGATATTACCCTTGCCAAGAAAGGAGCTCAATCCTCACATTGTATGGTTGTGAGCTCAGATATTTGCCAAGTCGCATTAGCTAATTTTTCAATTTAAAGTTTGTCCAAAAAGAAAACAAAAAGTTTTAGAGGGACCTTACACAATTAAGAATCGTTGATATTTGATATTGATATAAAATATATGGAATGTGACTTCACCCTCTCCATCTTAAAATATGCACATTTTTTTAAAAGGATATTAAATAATTAAATAACTTACTATACACAATATCCTTTAGATCCTATTTATAAGGTTTCTTTTAGATTGAGGATACCAGTGGTCCATAATATAATATGTTTTGCAGCGCGAACTTTCTGAACCATAATATATAAGATAATATTGCTAATTATTTCATGATTCTTAAAAAAATAGTTAGGTAAGATCTTAATCTCATTATGATTTTTTTTTCCAACTTTATGATTTATTAAATGATAAGTACATCTATTAATTTCATTGAGAATGTGAGTTATATATTCTTACAAATTAAAGTTTTGATTTAATGGGGCTTATTACTTAGTTTATATATGATTTTTTTTAACAAAAAATTTTATTAGATAAATAGTACTTTCTTCGTCTCAAATTATAAAATATTTTTAAAAAATATCTTTTATATCAATAAATATTATTAAGTATATTTAACAATCTTATATTTTAAAAATAAAAATATCAATTTTTTTAAAAAAATTTTATTTAATAATCTTAAATCTACATTTAACTATTAAATATAGAAAGGGAAAGAGTAGTATTGAAATAAACTTATTTAATAAAATTTTAATCTTTTAAAGTATCTTATATTTTAAAGTGTTAAATTTTACCTAAAAATATTTTATCATTTAAAATGAAAATATTAGCATTTGATTATTTATAAATAACCTCTTTTTATATAAAAATATAACTTTACTCTTGATATTTGGTGGCCTCGTAAATTTATTTAATCTAATATCATCACATCAAAGCATGTGCCCACCATATTTCTCTTTTTATATATCTAAAAAAAAATTGAAGCATGTGTCCACAGTAAGGCATAATAATTTTTTTTATTAATGTGACATGTGTATTAATAATTTATTAATTCTGTCATTTTCAGTTGACATGACATATTTTTTTATCCTAATTTATCTTTAAACTATTTTTTCAAAAGTGTTGACACCTTAAACTTTTATTAAAATAAAATTTAATAATAATTATTAAAATATTTAATTTTTTAATATTTAATTTAAAAATTATTATTTATAAATATTCATCAAAAAATGTCTAAATTATTTTTTAAATATTAATAGCTTGAATTAACTTTTCATAAATTTATAGATGATTGGTAAATTATGTGTGAATATTTATAAATAACAACAACAACAACAATAGCAATAGTATTTTTCTCATAAAATATAATATTTTTAAATAAATTATAAAAAATGACTTTATAAGAAAATTAACAATGATTAATTTTTTTAAATAGGTCATTCTCTATAATTTATTTTGGTAACTAACAGTCTTCTTTCAAAATATTATACCACTCAAATTTAATATTTTGATATTTTGCAACTTTGTGTTAAAAACAAGCGAATGATCTTCTAAATAAATGGATAAAATTAAAGGTTAAGTGTATGCCCATCAACTAGGTGGAAAGGGTTAGGGTTACCCCTAAAGTTAATTTAAATCTCTCAACCGCTAAGATTTTTGATTCCATCACCTTAGCATCTATGCTGTCAATTTTCACTATTAGTAGGGCCTATATATTTTTTAATACTTTTTTATAATTTTTTTTAAAAAATCCATCTCTCTTCTCTCTCTCCTCCCACCTTCATTCCCTCTCTCGTTCGCTTGTTCTTGAATTAAAGCAAGTGGAATAATGGCAACAAAGCACCCAGCATGTTGATTGCAGTCTTATTATCATTGTGAATGACTAAGCTAAAGAGTGCATTGGAAGCGCGTTCCTACAATGGTTGGTAGAGTTTTGACACCATTTAGTAATGGTAGATTTGAGGGTAAGGTTAGAAATTACGATAGAAAAATTGGGCTTAGAGCCATCGAAGAGCTGTAACATGAAGTTTAAATTTTTACAAGCTTGAAAAGAAACTCGCTTAAAGGTGTGGTCTAAGAAGATCTACTAAAAATATTAAAAAATTGATGGGACCCTTTAAAATATTAAAAAATTTAAATGTAGGCTCCACTAATAGTGAAATTTGACAAAATAGATGGCAAGGTAGTGGAATAAAAAATCTTAATAGTTGAAAGATATAAATAACCCTTTCTTAACTTTAGGAATGACTCTGACTCTTTCTGCTTAGTTGAACAGAATTTTAGACCCCATACTTTATAAAAAAATGATACGACCCACTAAAAATATTAAAATATTCAAATGTAGGCCCAACTAATGGTGAAATTTGACAAAATAGACAGTAAGATGATGAAATCAAAAATCTTAATGATTGAGGAATATAAAAGACCATTTCTTGAGTTTGGGACAAATCCTGACTCTTTCCACTTAGTTAAAGGAAATTTTAGACCCTTAACCCTAAATTAGTGTTGTCTTGTTAAATTTAATACTCATTTTCCTAATTTTAAAATTAGAAAATATTACATTATATGAAAATATCAATTAAGAATAGGTGACATTTTAGTTCTAAATATATGTTAATTTAATCATTAGTTGATCAAAAATATTATAGAGAATAACATAGAAAATTTGAGAAATTTAATTAATACTCATTTTCTTAAAAGATTATTTTCTTAATAAATATTAAATATTTTAATAATATTTACTAAATTTTATTTTAACAAAACTTAAGGGTGTCCATCACTCCTAAAAAGAGTTCATGAACAAATTAATACCAAAATACATGCCACATTAGCAGAAAATGATAAAGTTAACGGATCATTAATGGAGTGAAATTTTTAATCCTTTGGAAAATGGTTTGGGGGGGGGAATGTCCCATTTATTAGGACAAAATGCTATGCGCTGCTTGAAAGAAAGTAAGGAAAAAAATGCATTTTAACCCTTATAAAACATGAATAGTCAATTGAGAAATTAACCAAAAATACTTGGAATTATTTGTAATATTAGTTGAAAATTTTTAAAAGTTAATTGTGAATCTCAATTTTTTTCTTTCCATATACAAATAAACTTATTTGAGAAATTAAGAAAATACACTTGGGATTATTTGTATTGTCAGTTGTGAATTGCAAGCTAATCACTTATAATTTTTTTATTGTTAATACATAGATAAATCTCTTGTGAAATATACAAAAGACACTTGGAATTATTTGTAACTTAGTTGAGAATTTATGAGTTAGTTGTGAATTGCAAGTCAATTATCTATGATTTTTTGCTATCTCTTGGAAAATCAGCTAAAGATACTTGGAAATTTTTGTAGCATTACTTGAAAATTTACAAAAGTTTGTTATAATATGTTAGTTGTTCATTTTTTTTGCTATATTTTTGCTATCGCTTGAAAAATCAACTAAAAAAATGTCAGTTGTTCATTTTTCATATATTAATTATTTATTTTTTCTACATAAGTTGTTCATGCGTCTAACTTTACCTAGGACAATAAGGTCATTTGAGTTATCTCTTTAATTTCACTTTGGTCTCTTAGATAT